TCCCATAAAGAGGAGGAGTCTTCTTTCTTTTATAAATAGTCCCTATTAAATTAAAGCCTAAATTCCGGAAAAAATGTCGAAAGCTGAAATCTCAAAGTGTTCTAAAAATTGGTATTTTTCTTATGACCTTTTTCCAATGGAAGAAGATAAATTATACTATAATGATATGGATTTGAGACATGTGTATGAAGGCAGAAAGTACATAAATTATATCATATGGTCGTGTTCAAAAAAAGAATTGCAAACATTCCACGTTGAAGGATATATTCGTTACAAATATCCGAAACAAAGACGAACGGTGCGTGGATCATTTGTTTTTGTTGGCCTGACCCATACGAGGTAAAAAGTTGTTTTAATGTCCCTGGAACTGAATATGTGAATGAAATTCGACAAACGGGAAATTATACAGAGCTCGGATGTTTTAATGAACATGTAAGAATTCCAAGATGAGCAGATTCAACTAGACTCAAAACCGTAAAACAAGGTCCCATTTGTTTAGAAAACAATATCAAAAGTAATTTGAAATGTCAACAATGTCATCAAGTTTCGTGCTGTAGAGAGTGTTATCAAGAACTTGCCACCATACCAAATCAAAAGTGTCCTATTTGTCGTCATCAATAATAAAATTTGGCGTTGCGTGTTTGTTCTCCAATCTTTTTTTTTTTTGAAAAGTCTTGTCTTATTTGTATTGTATTTTTTCTTTATGTATATTAATATCCTTATAAAAGGATATGTTCAAATATGGATATGTAACTTTTGTACATATTTGGTTAATTTGTTTGACATTAATGAAATAAAATGCTCATTTACAGTAAACATTTTGTTTTAATATTTGCAAAAAAAAAAACAGAGTAGAAATAGACTCATTTATGGAGAAAATAAATTATTTGAGGAAGATTGAAGACGATGGAATAAATGAAAGTAAAAGGGGGATAACCATTTCAATGTGTTCTTTTAACTCGTATAGTCACCCAGGAATGAAAGAAAGAGGAATATAGCCCTCTCAGTATGCAGACCAAGGGGGGAGTGAGTAAAAGTAATAGTTCGGTCAATGATTGGTTTAGCAGGTATAGCCCCACACGATAAATATTTATAAAGAGATAGGAACATGAATGACAAATGAAAGAAAGAGGAATATAGCCCTCTCAGTATGTAGACCAAGAGGGGAGTGAGTAAAAGTTATAGTTCGGTCAATGATTGGTTGGTTTAGCAGGTATAGCCCCACACGATAAATATTTATAAGGAGATAGGAACATGAATGACAAATGAAAGAAAGAGGAATATAGCCCTCTCAGTATGTAGACCAAGGGGGGAGTGAGTAAAAGTTATAGTTCGGTCAATGATTGGTTTAGCAGGTATAGCCCCACACAATAATTATTTATAAGGAGATAGGAACATGAATGACAAACAATTCGGATAGTGAAAACACAGAAGATGGCCAGCAAACAAGTCTTTGAGTGTAATGATGTACCCGAAACAGAGGATTGGGATGAAGAAATTAGAAGAGAGGGCTATGTCCGTCCTTGTGGGTGGATGAGATGGGTAAATGGAGAAAACATCTTTCTATTTGAAGTAGAAGACGAGGGATATTATACCGATGATAATTAATCAAAGGAAAAGGGGAAGGGGAAATTAAGTACTGAACGGACTAGATAAGATGTATAATTGCCAAAGGTTTCAAAACAATCATGGACGTTATAGAATTTAAAACTCCTACAGATATTTTTTTCATGGAAGAACTTTCCCAGATCAGTTTTTTTTATAATAGGATATTAACAATTTTGTTTATAAAATGTTGTGCCGAAGATGTCATAAGAAATGCAAAAGTATTCCAAAAACGGAGGTGCATTGCATGTGACTATACTCATCCGTCAGAAAGAGGAAGACATATACAAAAGTGTGACCTTTCAGAAATATTATCAGTACACTTTTATAATTTACCCCGGTACTGCGAGAAACTTATGAGAAAGAGAGCTATTAAGAAAACTTTAGTAAAATTTGTAGTGAGGCAAAGATATCAGAGGATATGCGTCAAGATTTTTCAGATTGGATAGCATATAAAGTAATTATGATTCAAATGTAAATGGTATGAACAAGACAACGTTAATCTAATAATGAGTAAATATTGAATTTATGCAACGGCAAAGAGTATAAAAAGGACATCATAGATGAAAAATCACATGACCTGTTCTTTTTATGTCTTGACAGAAAAAGACATGGACTCCGGTTTAACAACAATAAGTAATTTAGCGGAATTGACCAGTGAAGAGAAAGACAGGCATTCAAGGAGAGGTATACGAAAGGAGAGAATAAGACTCCTGTGTATTTACAGTGTGGCAATCACTATATAACACTATTGTCTGCGAACAAAGTTATTCTTGAGGGAAAAAAGACCGAACCCCAGGTTTAAAAAAGCAGGGATTGCATGCAATGGAAATGCGAAAAGTTAACGACAGTGCAGCCGATGTGCCCATATGTAAATAAATTCCCACTAAGCCAGGACATTTTTGTTAGAATTTGTGTAAGAGAAAAAGATATATCCATAAATATACGACGATTTAAAGGACAAAACGCAACCCTGGAAGGAATTCAGTTAAACCGTAATAAGTGGTTATATTTGAATAAAATTGTGAGAGACATATATACCTCAATTTTAAAGAACATTTCATATATAAGTAGTAGAGTGAGATAATTTTTTAAAAGTAAAGATTCCTTGTGTCTCTATAAATGTGTTAATATTTTATATTTTCAAGTAAGGATGTCTTGTGTGTATAAAATGTGCAAATAATTATAAAGGTCAACAAAATGGTTCTACAGACAAAGAGTATTTCTACTTAGCGTTATTTTACTTAATATATACTTGTATAACTTCCATAAAAATGAAGAGGGGCTATTTTACACGTTTCTTCTTCAAAATAATTTTGAATCTGTTTTTTCTGTGACGTTATTAATGTATGTATAGCCCCTGTAAAAAGAGGGAGGAGTCAGGTTACATATATGAGAGAGAGAGAGAAATGTTCACAAACATACGCAATGGAAGAACTATATTCTGTCAACCTTGGCAATAATAGGATTGTAAGAGTTCGCCAAGAAGAGAATCAGAAGAAAGTAATAGTTATACTAGAACTGGGAGGTGAAAATTCACCAAGTGTGCTTTTAAATTGTGGTCAGTGGAATGCAGTAAAATTAGGGATGTCAAAATTGTCAATAATTGATATTCGAATATTCGATAGGAATATTCGAATATATTCGAATATTCGATAAAATAAATACATTTTGCATTATAAAGTATATATTTTAAATCTCCTGTCAGCCAGTATATGTTGTATGTCATTATTTTGGAATAAAATTTTACGTAGAGTATTGTAAATGCAAACTTATTACATTTTTAAAATTTTACAGGGTATATGAAGAGTAAACATCTAAAATGTAATGAAAATTTGTTTTTGAAAATTCAAAAGCTTCTTCAATATGTTCCAGATTAACTGATCGTCTTACCAAAGTCTACACTACTTACTCCAATTTTTACCACTTTAAACAATTATCTACTGAAGAACAATTAAGATCAATTAATTTTAGTGAAGTAATTTCCTGATAATTATTTTTAATGATATATACATAAACAAGGGATCCATGGGTTTTCTGTAAAACTGTGTCCTTACAACAATACAAACTGATTGTAGGTTATTGGTACTGTTATACCACTGATCAAAGAATAATTTGTTCTAATAATTACACTCTTCACACTGTAATCCAACAGGACTGTCTTTTAATTTTTTTCAAAATCAAATCTTATTCATGTCAACTGTACAAACTTCATTCAATTTCAAATAAAACTTGTCAGATTTTTCTCTCTATTAAATGCTTATACTTAAAAACCGAATATTCGAATCACAAATTTGTATTCGAATATCAACTCATCGAATGAATATTCGAATATTCGAATATTCGTTGACATCCCTAATTAAAATGGTGTATAATGTCTGCTACAGAAGCAGTGCAAGCAGTTCAAAGGGGAGAGACAGGAATAAACTTTTTTCACAATCTAGGACACTAAATGTACATTCAAGTGCACTCTCCTTACAAATGTGTAACGATAAGGAAATTCGTACGAGCCCCGTATTATGATCCTGATTTACCTCACCCTCACTGCCCAACATATGAAAGAACGAAGGTATGTCCCACTAAAGATGGTTTAAGTTTGCGTCTCTTTGAGTGGAAACGATTAACAGCACGCGCGGAAATTAGTATTGTACAAATGTAAATTGTACCGTGTATAATATAATAAATAAAAAGTGAATATACATTCATCTCAGTTATTATTGTAAAAAAACATTATATGTATAGTGGCTGCCAGAGAAACCTAAAACTTTGAAAACTGGGCCCATTATGGTATTTTTTTTATCACCAGCTTATGGATGAAATATTGCCAATTCGGCTTGAAACATTAATCAATAAATATACATAACTACGGAAGCCCAATAGTGCAAACCAAAAATAAATTAAGAAAAACGAAATTATTAAATAAAGAAAAACGAAATTATTTAATAAAGAAAAAAAAAATATTAAATAAAGAAAAACGAAATTAATATATTATATAAAGAAAAACGAAATTATCAAATAAAGAAAAAACGAAATTAATATATAACATGTATGAAGAGAAACGAAATAAATATATAAATAAAAACGAAATTATTAAATAAAGAGAAACGAAATTATTAAATAAAGAGAAACAAAATTAATATATAAAGAAAAAACGAAATTATTAAATAAATCAATTCGCTTTTCTTTATTTATTAATTTCGTTTTTTTTACTTTTAATAATTTCGTTTCTCTTTATATATTAATTTCGTTTTTCAAGTAGAAAACTGAAACTAAAATACGGAATTTATAGATGTGCATGGTAAGGGTCTGTAGCCAGTTTTACTAAAGGTCGTAAGTCAAAACGTAGGCGTAAACGTAGACGTAGACGTAACTTACGTCGATTTTGCGTTTTACTAAAGATCGTATCTTACGATTTGACGTAGATTTACGTGAAAATCTACTTGTGCTCCATAGCAGCCGTAAGAAATCACTTAGTGTTCTCAACTTCTAAATAAAAATGGCGACTATATTATTTATGCAGCGTTCTTTGCGCAAACAGCGTGTTTTCCGAGACAGAAGCCAGCCATTGGATTCTTTCGACGACTCGAAGCTCATTTCTAGGTACCGTTTCCCTCGAAGGATAATTTTTGATTTGATCGATGGGGTAGATGAGCAACTTCGGCCATATACAGAAAGATCACATGCTATCCCCACTCAGTTGCAGGTAATAAACATTGAAACTGAAAGTATCCGTGTCACATCCTATGGCAACGGGAGTTTCTAAACGATAAACCGTTAGGTCAAGAAAATAATAATCCGGTAAAAGTAGACAGATGATAAAATTATACTTAAATATCTTAATTTTGTTACCCTAGAGTATGTACTAAAAGGAAATCATGAAGAAAGAAAACAGTTCTCTATGGTGTTAAAAATTAAGGAATAAATAAAATCCCTGTTTGTTTATTGTGTGTTTTGGAGGGTAAACAAAATTCTTTTTGAAAGAGCATTTATTCATACACAACACATACATGTAGTGACGTACACATATCTTGTTAACACTTAAGTGTTAGTTTTTTTTTTAATTTTCGGTTACATGAATTTTGTTAAATGAGTTTTAGCGGGAAAATAATTAATTCAACAAAATTGAAAATTCAATTAACACAGACGCTTTAAATAGTTTTTTAAATTTAATATGGTTTTATAACTTTATTTTATCAAAACAAATTTCATAATTTACATAAGAATGAAAACATAATTTAAGGGGATGAAGGATGTATGGTCACGTGACTCAGTTGATTTACGTCATAATCTCTGATAAAATATGTACAAAACGAGATTGAAACCACAGTACTTGTATAATTTTTTTGACTGTTTGTTTGCGTTCACCATCTAGTATAAAAATATCCGAAAACATTCAAAATTTCTTGCAAATATTATCAAATTACGGAATAGATTAATCCACTCTGCCGTTTCCCTACTCTGCGCGTCCAGTGCGTCTTTGACGTCATAGTGGATCTCTTAGTTCAGTAAGATCATACATCGTACAAACGGGTAGTATAAAATCATAAAAACGGGCCATAATATGTACATGGTAGGGTATTTTGTAAATTTCAGAACGAAAAAAAATTTTTTACATGGTTGTTGACGGAAAAGTTCTGTGGGTTTGTCTTATTTCGCTTATTTCAGGAATGTGTGACGTCATAGTTGGGTTTTCCCGTACTCGAGAAATGTAAACATGACACGTTTTTCTCATGATCACGACTCGTTTAACTTTGCCCCGTGCAATATTGAGCTCAGCTTCACCAATCGATATTTTTACAGTTAATCAATACAATGACGACCTTGAACTTCGACGTAAATTTTCAAATATTGAATGATAGGATTTTTTGCAAATTAATTTTTTTATGGTTCAAGTTGTCCTTAAAAAAGTCTTAAATTTCCGTCTCCAGTTGTGGTGTTACAAAAGAATTTTGCTTTTTCGAATTTTTAACCCTATTCATACTCTAAAATATTTTAAAAGACACATTTCCGCTAGTATATTTTTTATCTATGGTGAAGAATTTCAATTATCGACCGAGTAATGGACCCAGAAACACGGAGAATAAAAACTCCGCATAGACACTCTGGGGCATGGTATTTGTCACTCAATATCTCAGAAATAAGTCTAGAAACCTATTGATATGTCTGCTTTATAGTATGTAGGACATAATAAATAAGATAAATACAAAATATGAAAAAATTAAATGACAGGTATTTTTTCAGCTAAAGGTCCTTCATCCCCTTAAAAGTTATATAAACCGAGTTCTAACTATCCTCCAGAAAACAGAAGCTTTTAACTTCGTATATGATGAAAAGTGTGACCTGTAATTTTTTTAAAAAAATATTCTCATTGTTCCTATTTCAGGTCCTATGTACGTTGCGTTACATTGCAAAAGCAGATTTCTTTTCGGAAGTTGGAGATGTTCACGGGGTTTCGAAATCGTCCGTTTCAGTATGTTTACCAAGGGTGTGTCAAGCCCTTTGTGAGCACTTGCAGAACATTAAATTCCCATCTTCAGTGCACTCTTTAAGGAAAATAAAAGACGAATTCCACAGCATCGCCCGTTTCCTCAACGTGGTAGGGGCTATTGACGGGACCCTCATCCCCATCAAAGGGATGGGTACCGAGGATGAACACATATATGTATCGAGAAAAAAATTTCATGCCCTTAATATCCAAGGGGTTGTGGACGCAGAGATGAGGTATGCTTAAATATTTTTTGCAAACTTGTACAATGCAGTCCACTTACAAAAGTTGTTACATATTTTAAAATGGAGAACATTTTGTTTCTCTTCCTGCATGCTGAATTTTCTTTACAATCTCACAATGTCATAATGATCATACTTTTATTTAAGATTTCTAAACATCAATTGCCGATTCCCAGGCAGTGCGCATGATGCATACATCATGTCAAACTCCACCATTCCGGACATTATTGCTAAATTGCCAGAGGGTGGTTGCCTGCTGGGTGACTCTGGTTATCCGTTGAAAGATTTTCTTATGACACCCTGGTCTGGCAGTGAGCACGATTATATCTTTCCTCCATTGGTGTCTTGTTTTTATTAATGATGGAAATTCTTTTATTAACTGTTACCATATTCTCCAGTCCTCTTTTTCCTACTGGTTCCAGACTCTTCTTACTCTTGCACGTTTGTGATGGCAAAGCTGAAATGTAAATTATGAAAACAGATGTAAAAGACATTTGGTAAATTTTTATCTTGAAAGAAAACATCCAAGTAACACTAATGACAAAAGAATACATTGCTTAAAAGCATTTCCATCATTTAAATTTAAAGCTAAAATTTTTAGGTCACCTGAGTAAAGTTTGGTACCTATTGCTATCTGTTTTCGTCCCTCCTGGGGCCAGAGGGGTGGTGCTAAAACCACCAAAATTAATCATCAAGGTGAAAAATTTTGAAAATTAGGTCAAACATGAAGGTCAATGATTAATGGGTCATGATTTGAACAACTATGAATCTAAGTTACCTGAGGATGTTTCCATATAAATATGATCCTTCATGCCTTTGCTATTCTGAAACAAGAGGCCCATGGGCCACATCGCTCACCTGAGCACTGTGGCTAGGAAAAAGTAGAAATTGGTTTATTATTGAAAAGTTTAAATCCAAAAGTAGTTCCATGTCCAGTCATGACTTTGCTATTCGTGAGAAGAAGATTTTTAAAAAATTTTCCTATGTATTTCTATGTAAAACATTGGTTGGCCATTGTGGCCCCGCCCTACCCCTGGGGGTCAAGATTTGAACAAACTTGAATCTACACTACCTGAGGATGCTTCCATATAAATATGATCAATTATGGCTTTGCTGTTCTTGAGAAGAAGATTTTTAAAGAATTTTCCTATAAGTTTCTATATAAAACTTTGGTCGGCCATAAAGTGGCCCCGCTCTACCCCCGGGGGTCATGATTTGAACAAACTTGAATCTACACTACCTGAGGATGCTTTCATATAAGTTTCAACTTTCCTGGCACAGTGGTTCACTGGCTCTTGAGAAGAAGATTTTTAAAACATGCCACAAAATTTATATTAATTCCCAATTATCTCCCCTTGAATGAGGGTGTGGCCCTTCATTTGAACAAACATGAATCCCCCACACCCAAGGATACTTTGTGCCAAGTTTAGTTGAAATTGGCCCTGTAGTTTTAGAAAGAAGTCGAAAATATGAAAAGTTTACTGACAGACAGATGGACGGACAGTTAGATGCCGGACAAAATGTGATCAGAAAAGCTCACTTGAGCTTTCTGAACAGGTGAGCTATGAATAATGAATGAAAAGTGTCAGATATCAAGTATAGATGTATACATACCAGTACATGGAATTGAGGGCTCTTCAGAAGTTACATGTATGTCAACCACACATTCTAAAATTTAAAAATCTTGATGTAATATACATGTATTAGATAGCTCATACAGTGTATGTGAATAAAATAAAAGAAAATGTCTTTCATATGTAAGAATAATTCCAATAAAATTTTATTTTTTCTTATAAATGATGAATATTTTCTTAGTGCATGCATACTAGTCGAAATAAATATATTTACATTCCACATTTAATTTGCTTAAAAAGTTTGAGGTAAGCTACAGCAATGAAGGAATAATAGACCATCATAATGATAGACGGAAAGGGGAATTTCATGAAGGGGGCTCAGAAAATGTGAATTTTGATTATAAAATCAACTCTATGACTAAACCAGATTACTATAGACAAAATGTATGAATATATATTCCTTTGACCTGAAACATTGTTAGATGTTGCACTGCAATCTCCAGTTGCTCTTGGACAATTCAAATCACGATTCAAATCCAATTTCCCCTTTGTTTGACCTGTTCATCAGATATAAAAAAAAGAGTATAAATCAGTACATGTATAATGCTTACAAAATTTTACAGCTAGATTTCCAATCATGAAGCATATGCATATACAGATAAAGTTCTTTGTATATGCATTTAATTCATGAAAAGTAAATGTCTGAGATTCATGTAGATGCAGAAATGTATTTCTCTGTTTGAGAAAATTTGGACAGATAAAGCATAGAGCTACAGATCCAAGCATTGTAAAATCATTCGATTATCGCTGAAGCTTATTGTCGCTCACTTCAGATATTTTGCTTGCATATGTTTAAGACCGCTAAAAAGTATATAATGTATCAAGGGTAATAGTTAAATATATGATTAATTATAGGATACCAATCTAATAGTCAGAATAAGATTAAACTACACGAAATAAAAGCCTACAGTAGCGACAAATAATCATCAGCGTATAAAATCGAAGGTTTTTACAATGCTTGCCTTGGATCTGTAGCTCTCTACTAGTACTTTATGTGTCCGAATATTCATAAGCAGATTGAGAGCTACAGTTCTGCAGCTAAGATTCAGTCATTAGGCCACACCAATAAAAAAAATGTTTGCCGGACCCGCATGCTTGTATTTAAACAAAATTATACACTGTCAAATAATATTCATTTAAAATCCCCGCACCCTGGGGATTCTGTGCTGTTTTCTGTATATTTCCGCTCTATTTATCGTACCTTTAATCTACTTACTCTGCAAATCAGAAAAAATACAATTGTCTGCTCAAATTTTTTCATGCCCCGCTTAAAAATCTTGCCTACAAAAAAGTCATAATATTATATTTAACAGCTAACCCGCTCGTACTTTTTTCATCGTTTAGTAAAACTCGGTACTGAACCAATGAATCATTCCATAAAGCGCACATATTATAAAGCATCACCTCGTAACTCTTTACGCCTTATCTCGACATTACAAATGTGTGGTGGAAATGAAAAATTAAAGAAGATATAAATATCAAATTAACAAAGGTCGAAAAAAATATGTGCACACAGCCTAAAATTCCCATTTCCGTAAACAATTCATAAACTATTCAATTTTGTTTACGGGAAGTTGTTGCTTTGTCACATCCCCACATCGTTGTTAGAGTCTGTAAGCCTGGACTTGGAGAGGATGGTCGTTTCTGTTTGCATAGAATTAATGACATTTCAATAAAGCTCGTGAATCGCGAGAAGTTCAAGACCTTGAGTATCGTTTTACTGAATTCCCATGAACTTAACCTAGCGTCCTCTCTGTGTACCCATAAATCTTAGGTTGTTGAAACTATAAAGAGAAAAATGATTTGATTACTTTGTGGGATTTGTTTTACGCAAGAGTGTGCATTGTTTGTTCACAAACATCACTGACTTATAAATACAGATTGAGAATTTGTCATTTCGAATTTGTGAAATCATGTTATATAGTAGCTAGTCATACACTACCACTGACTTGTAAATAGTACAGATTGAGAATTTTACATTTATTAAGACCAAGAAATCAAAAGTGTTTTACTTTATTTCTAATATAGTGAGCAATCATTAAAATCTACTTATTGTAACCTCTTTGACTTGTTTAATTTTTTCACTTGTTCTCTTTAAACATTTTTTTACAATATCAAACAAACCCACAAAGTCCGATCAGTAACGTATTATTTTACGGAATTTTCTAATACATGTACTGTAAAGCCATGGGGATTTCCTAAATGTTAAAAATTCAACAGTACATAACAACGGAATCTTAACCTTCACGTTTATCTTAACTGCAGGGATTTTAAATTAATATTATTTGTATAATTTTGTTTAAATACAAGCGTGCGGGTCCGAAAAACATTTTTTTTTTATTGGAGTGGCCTAATGACTGAATCTTAGCTGCAGAACTGTAGCTCTCAATCTGCTTGAGAAAATTAGGACACATAAAGTAGAGAGCTACAGATCCAAGGCAAGCTTTGTAAGAACCTTAAAAGCTTCGATTTTATACGCTGATGATTATTTATCGCTACTGTAGGCTTTTATTTCATGTAGTTTAACCTTTCTCTGGCTATTAGATTGGTATCCTATAATTAATCATATTTTTACTATTACCCTTGAAACTTTATATACTTTTTAGCGGTCTTAAACATATACAAGCAAAATATCCTAAGTGAGCGACAATAAGCTTCAGTGATAATCGAAGGTTTTTACGATCTGTAGCTCTATGCTTTATCTGTCCAAATTTTCTCAAGCAGAGAGATACACTTCTGCAGCTACATGAATCTCAGACATTTACTTTTCATAAATTAAATGCATATACAAAGAAATTTATCTGTATGATAAAATTGCTTTATGATTGGAAATCTAGCTGTAAAATTTTGTAAGCATTAAATACATGTACTGATTTATACTCTTTTTTTTATATCTGATGAACAGGTCAAACAAAGGGGAAATTGGATTTGAATTGTGATTTGAATTGTACAGGTGCAACCGGAGATAGCAGTGCAACATCTAACAATGTTTCAGGTCAAAGGAATATATAACACATTTTGTTTATGGTAATCTGGTTTAGTCACTGAGTTGATTTTATAATCAAAATTCACATTTTTTGAGCATCCTTCATGAAATTCCCCTTTCCGTCTATCATTATGATGGTCTATTATTCCTTCATTGCTGTAGCTTACCTCAAACTTTTTAAGCAAATTAAATGTGAAATGTAAATATATTGATTTCGACTAATATGCACTAAGAAGATATTCATCATTTATGAAAAAAAATAAAATTTCATTGGAATTATTCTTACATATGAAAGACATTTTCTTTTATTTTATTCACATACACTGTATGTGGTATCTAATATATTACATCAAGATTTTTAAATTTTAGAATGTGTGGTTGACATACATGTAACTTCTGAAGAGCCCTCAATTCCATGTACTGGTATGTATGTATGTATGTATACTTGATATCAGAAACATTTCATTTATTATTAGCTCACCTGAGAAGAAAGCTCTAGTGAGCTTTTCTGATCACATTTTGTCCGGCATCCAACTCTCTGTCAGTAAACTTTTCACATTTCCGACTTCTTTCTAAAACTACAGGGCCAATTTCAACTAAACTTGGCACAAAGTATCCTTAGGTGAGGGGGATTCATGTTTGTTCAAATGAAGGGCCATACCCTTATCCAAGGAAGATAATTCAGAAATAGTGAAATTTTTTTGTGTTTTTTGTGTTATGTCTTAAAGTTCTTCTCAAGAACCACTCTCCCAGAATAGATGAAACTTAAATGGGAAACATCCTCAGGTAGTGTAGATTCAGGTTTCTTCAAATCAATAACCCCGGGGGTAGGGCAGGGCCACAACAATCTAATTAATATAAGATGTTAGATCCACTCACATACTCACTACACTAACATCTAACAACATCCCATAGAGGGTCACGTCAGAGGTCAAATTCTATCAACCAATCAAATTGTCGCTGGCAAAATCATCGGATATTTGTTGACGTTACCAAATAGAATAAGTCTAGAGTTGTTCCAAATTTGACCCTTGAAATGAAAAGGGTAGACAGGTCTGTATTACTAGTGAGCATTGGATTATAGACTTATTGTTTTTAATTAAATAATTAAATTAACATAATAATACTCTATTCAACACTTAACTAAAGACAATTTTTCTTCATAGCATCAGAGAGTTTGAAGAAAGATTTGAAGAAGAGTCAAGATTCTAGCAGGAGAAAAGCTGAGCAAAATGGTACAGTTACAACACATTAGTGCATACTTTATTTTTAAACACATATTTTACTATGCAACTCATATTTGAATTAAGTTGAGACAATATAAACCTTTACCATTCTTTGTATATTATATTATTATATTTTAAAAATTTATATAGAAATGCAAAGGAAAGGGACTTCATTGGTTGATATTGCGAATGCCCCTCCTTTTTTCTAGGAATGGAAGAGTTTGTAAGAATGAAGAAGAAAAAGTCGGAATTAGAGGAAAGAAAAGTTATAGCTCTAGAAAAAATTGCAAACACTCTTGAAAGATTTCAGGACCATCAAGCCTCAGAGTTTTCTCTCTCTCCCATCATTAAGTTTTAAATATTTAATTCTACTTTTGATGATCAAATATTTATAGACTTTGCCTCATAGGCTTATTATCTCTACCAAAGAGTACTAGTATAAAAATTGTATGTGTTCACTATAATGTGGTATTATTTTAAACATGAAATATATTCTTAAAATTTTCAAGACTGTTTTGAGGTAATTTTTTTCCTTAAATTCTCCCGGTAATATTCATAGTAAACATTGTGTTTAAACAATATGAGCTGCAACTTTGATCTCGGATAATTTTGTTGCAAAATTGTAAATAAGTATTTAAATGACAGAAAAATACAACAACAATGTAATTAAACATCTGTTGTTTTTATTTGAATGCGATGGAAAAACTATTTATGAGCTTTGATTTAATCAAAATTACATTATTGTCGTCCTGTACAATTATGATTTCTTATATAAAATTGTATATTGGACTGTATATATGGAAGTCTCTTTTCTGCATTAAAATAGTCTAATTGATCTAAAAGGTTTTAGTTACATAAAATTCATCACAACACATTTGAACAGCAATATGACTTATAAAAATTCATCCCATATTGCTTTTTTTTCTTTTCAAGAAATACAAATTAAGTTCCTCATGCTTTATTGATATGAGGGCATTCTCAAGTAGTATAAAATCCCCCCCCCCCACCCCAGTAAACTATGCAATACCCAGTTCCTTCAGTTATTGAATTTAAGCTCAAAATAAACTTAATTTGATTACCTTCTGTATTTTTTGTCTAAATAGAACAATTACTTCTCCGTAAAACAAGGCATAAAAATTTAATATATGGTTACACTGTATTTCTCTTCTAGGGTAACAGAGATTAATATATATAAGGAATGAATTAAATAGCTACCCATTTTATACGGTATAAACTGGGTTGGGACAGTTTACGCTTTATAAACCGCGAAGCGTAAACTGATCCAACCCAGTTTATACCGTATAAAATGGGTGGCTATTTAATTCGTTGTTTATAATTTAATTTTCATTCATTTGATGTAAGAAAAAAAGATAATTGTTCTAACAAAATGACTTTAATTTGTACAAGATTTGAATGTAACGTCAGGCGGATTGATACGTTTTTGACGTAAGTCATTGTGACGTAGGCAACCCATTTTATACGATATGAAGTAATTTTTTTATCCAATCAAATGCAGCGTTACAACCAGAATTTAATTTTAAAAGTATAAGATTATAGTATTCATATATTATTTATTGTTACTACATTTTATTAAAAAAGAAATTACAAATTCAAAATACAACGGGTTCTTCATTATTTTAGCTTGTCCTCCTATCTACAAAATAAAAAAAAAATATTGCGTATGAAATGAAAGTTACTTAAACTGAAAAAAAACTAGTGCTAATTGTAACGGTTACCGTTACAGATGTTCCCCAAACGCTCCCCAACTCCCTTTTGGTGGCATATTCCCTGTAATCTATATTAAATAAGAAATACTTTATGGTATTTAGACTTAATCAAGGTCTTCCCAGAAAAATACAAAATATATTTAAAAATAGGCATTGCACGCGTGTTCATGTGCGTAATGACCATATTAACTTGTCTACACTATCTAAAATTTTAATATACTTAATATCAAAGCATTTGATCCAAAAGTATTTAAAAATTTACTCATTCCAGTGTATTTCTAATTTTACTCATTTCACGTGCACGCACGTGCATAATGTCTTTACCTTCTTGTAGGAGTCCCTTATATTTATCTATGTTCTAAATCCCATCGTGTTTGGTTGAAAAACAAGGGAGTGATAGCCATTTGAAGTTCCAGCCAATCAGATTGCAACACACATGCATGCGCGAGATTTCATAAATTTTTATCGTTATCGTATTGAAGGATATCCTAATGCATGACTATGTTTTAAATTTCAAAGCATTTCGTCGAAAAACAAAGGAGATATAGCCATATAAAGTTTCAGCCAATCAGATTGCAGCACACGTGCATGCGCGTGATTTCATGAATTTTTTTCTGTATCCTATTTTAGGATATCCTAATGCATGGCTATGATTTAAATTTCAAAGCATTTCGTCGAAAAACAAAGGAGATATAGCCATTTAAAGTTTCAGCCAATCAGATTGCAGCACGCGCGCATGCGTATGCTTTCATGAAAATTTTTATATATCATGCTATAGATCTTCATAATGTAGGACTATGTTCAAAATTTCAAAAGATTATGACAAGAAACAAGAAAGATATTGAGACTTTAGTTTCAGCCAATCAGAGCGAAGTGCACGTGCATGCGCGTGAGATCTTGCTATTTTGACCATGTCATCTTGTCTATACTACTGATGTATCCTTACATTATGAGTTTCAAAAAAAATCATCAAAAAAAAGAAAAGTTACAGCAGTATCCATTATATTGGTCATTTCACATGTTGCACGTGCGCGCTCTTGCAAGCACGTGCGCGCAAAATGACCTTCGTTCGGCAAATCTATATAACATGTCTACTGACCCTAAAAACATTTTACCCTAGTCGGATGTGTAGTTTACAAGATCACTCGTGGACAAAATTTTCCCAGGAAAAATAATAATAACTAGTGCTAATTGTAACGGGAACCGTTACAGATGTTCCCCAAACGCTCCCCAACTTCCTTTTGGTGCCATATTTTCTGTAAGCTTCATTAAATAAGACAAACTCTGTGCATTTTTGACTTTGACAACGTTTTCCCAGAAGGATACCAAATATATTCAATTTTTAGCATTGCACACGTGCGCATGTGAATGCATGTACGTTATGACCATATTATCTTGTTTAATATCTATAGATTTTAATATGCTATATATTTAAGTATTCAGTCCAAAAGTATTAAAAATCACTTATTCAAGTGTATTTTTAATTCCACTCGTTCCAAATGCACGCACGTGCGTGCACGTGTAGGATGTCATACCTTCTTGTAGGAGTCTCTTATATCTATCTATGTTCTAAATCCCATCCTGTTTAGTTGAAAAACAAGGAAGTTATAGCCATTTCAAGTTTCAGCCAATCAGATTGCAGCACACGTGCATGCGCGTGATTTCATGATTTTTTTTCTATATCGTATTGTAGGTTTTCCTATTGCATGACTATGTTTTAAATTTCAAAGCATTTCGTCAAAAAACAAAGGAGATATAGCCATTTAAAGTTTCAGCCAATCAGATTGCAGCACGCACATATGCGCATGCTTTCATGAAAATTTTTATATATCATGCTGTAGATCTTCATAATGTGTGACTAAGTTCAAAATTTCAAATCATTATGACGTAAAAGAAGAAAGATATTTAGAATTAAGTTTTAGCCAATCAGAGCGAAGCGCACGTGCATTCGCGTGAGATCTTGCTATTTTGACCATGTCATCATGTCTATACAACTAAGATATCTCTACATTATGAGTTTCAAGACATTTCATCAAAAAATAGGAAAGTTACGACAATATCTATTATATTGGTCATTTTACGTGTTGCACGTGCACGCTCTTGCAGGCACGTGCGCGCAAAATGACCTTCGTTCGGCAAATCTACATAACATGCCTACTGACCCTAAAAAGGTTTCACCTTAGTCGGATGTGTAGTTTACAAGATCATTCGCGGAAAAGATTTTCCCAGGAAGAAGAAAAATAATAATAATAATAATAATAATAAGAAACAGAGTAAAAACAATATGTTCCCCAACTTCGTTTGGGGAACATAACTAGTGCTAATTGTAACGGGGACCGTTACAGATGTTCCCCAAACGCTCCCCAACTCCCTTTTGGTGCCATATTCCCTGTAAGCTTCATTTAATAACACAATCTCTATGCAATTGAGATTTTAACAATGTTTACTCAGAAATGTACCATGCTCATTCAAATTTTAGCATTGCATGTGTGCGCATGTGAATGCATGTACGTAATGACCATATCATCTTGTCTACACAATCTATATATTTTTTAATATACTAAATATTAAAGTATTTAATCCAAAAGTATTAAAAAAAATTTCGCTCATTCAAGTGTATTTTTGATTTTACCATTTTACGTGCACGCACGTGCATACATGAGCATGGTGACCATACCTTCTTGTAGAAGTTCATTAAATCTATTTATGTTCTAAATCCCATCCCGTTTTGTTGAAAACTAAGGGAGTTAAAACTCTTTAAAGTTTCAGCCAATCAGATTGCAGCACACGTACACGCACATGTATGCATGTGCATGGTGACCATACCTTCTTGTAGATGTCCATTATATATATCTATGTTCCAAATCCCATCCTGTTTGGTTGAAAACCAAGGAAGTTATAACTGTTTAAAGTTTCAGCCAATCAGATTGCAGCGCACATACACGCACGTGTATGCATGTGCATGGTGACCATACCTTTTTGTAGAAGTCCATTTTATATATCTATGTTCCAAATCCCATCCTGTTTGGTTGAAAACCAAGGGAGTTATAGCTTTCTAAATTTTCAGCCAATCAAATTGCAGCGCACGTGCATGCACGTGTTTTCATGATAATTTCTATATATCATGTTGTAGAATATCCTAATACAAGGCTATATTCAAAATTTCAAAGGATTTCCTCAAAAAACAAGAAAGATATTGAGACTTTAGTTTCAGCCAATCAGATTGCAGCGCACGTGCATGCGCGTGAGATCTTGCTATTTTGACCATGTCATATTGTCTATATTACTAATATATCCTTACATTATGAGTTTCAAAGCATTTCATCAAAAATTAAAAAAGTTACGCCTATATCAATTAAATCGGTCATTTTACATGTTGCACGTGCGCGCTCTTGCAAGCACGTGCGCGCAAAATGACCTTTGTTCGGCAAATCTACATAACATGTCTATTGACCCTAAAAACATTTTACCTTAGTCGGATGTGTAGTTTACAAGATCACTCAAGGACAAAATTTTCCCAGGAATAATAATAATAATAATAATAATAAGAAACACAGTAAAAACAATATGTTCCCCAACTTCGTTTGGGGAACATAACTAGAAAAGAAACTCGTTGCGAGCAACGAGAGGTCTTCCGTCCGATTCAGTAAAAAAAAAACAACGTAAAATCAAATTGAAAAAAAGTGATTTTGAAAA